AATAATAATAATAATAATAATTCTTCCAGTTAGTGCGCTGTAGGCTGGAGTCAAGTAGGCTCCAAGCTAAGAGAAACCGGGTCAGCGTCCGTTGCCATGGATCCGTGACGCTCTTCCAAAAGCAAGAGTCACGTGATCATAGCCAATATGGCGCCTCCCACAGTATTTCGTAGCCCACGTGGTTCTGGCAGTCAAGATGGCGGCGGCGGCCACTCCGGCTACCCTGGATTCTGCTCCGCGGATCATGCGGCTGGTGGCCGAGTGCAGCCGCTCCAGGGCTCGGGCGGGCGTGCTACGGCTGCCGCATGGGCCAGTGGCCACTCCGGTGTTCATGCCAGTGGGCACGCAAGCCACCATGAAGGGCATCACGGCCGAGCAGCTGGACGCTCTGGGCTGCCGCATCTGCCTGGGCAACACCTACCATCTGGGTTTGAGGCCGGTGGGTGGGGTCTACCCTGGGGTGGTGAGGGCGGTGGCGGAGCATGGGGAGTCAGCGGGTATCTCCTAGGCTCCCGCACACCTCCAAAAGTCAGTCAACAAACCGTATTGCGCGCCCCTGTGGTACAGGCCCTGTGCGGGGCGTGAAAGAGCAACGGGGAGAAAAGCCGTTCATCCCTGGCCTCCCACACCGGCCTCCAGTGTCTTGCTTACTCCTAAACGGACATTCTTCTCCCAACTCAGGGCCCGGAGCTAATCCAGAAAGCCCACGGTCTACACGGCTTCATGAATTGGCCCCATAATTTGCTGACGGTGAGGTGGGGTTAGGGCCGGGATCCGAGGATACTTCTGTAGAGTGAGGGGTCCCCCATCTCCAACTCGTGACAGCCCTGCGGTGGGGTTTCCCCCAGGACAGCGGCGGCTTCCAGATGGTGTCCTTGGTGTCTCTGTCCGAGGTGACTGAGGAGGGCGTCCGCTTCCGTTCCCCCTACGACGGTGATGAGACCCTTTTAAGCCCAGAGAAGTCGGTGCAGATCCAGAACGCCCTAGGTGAGTGGACCCCCAGGGAGCCACCCTTTCCCCTGTCTATCAGGAGTGGATGTGAGGTGGGCGCTGATCCTTCGGTGCTGTGTGATTTTAAGCAATTATGCTTTTCCTCCTTAGCTACAGTGCAGCCAGCTCAATGGGGGAATACCTAATAGCACATCCTTAGTAAGATTGTTGACAAGAATAGATGAGGTAGGCCAGGCGTGGTGGTTTACGCCTGTAATCCCATTACTTGGGAGGGCAAGGCAGGTGGATTGCCTGAGCTCAGGAGCTGGAGACCAGCCTGAGCAAGAACGATATCCCGTCCCTAAAAAATAGCCGGTGTTGTAGCTGGTGCTTGTAGTTGCAGCTACTCGGAAGGCTGAGGCAAGAGAATCGCTTGAGCCCAAGAGTTTCAGGTTGCTGTGAGCTATGTTGCTACGGCACTCTATCCAGGATGACCAAGTGAGACTCTGTCTCAAAAAAAAAAAAAAGAATACACGAGTTAATATTGGTAAATCTCTTATCACAGTGCCCGGCTGTAGTAATTTTTATTATTATCATTATTCTTATCATTTTTCCCCCTTATTTATTTAGAGACAGAGCTTCATTTTGTTGCGCAGGTTAGAATGCCATGGCCTTGCTCACAGCAACCTCAAACTTCTGGGTTAAAGTAAACTTTTTGCCTCAGCTTCCTGAGTAGCTGGGACCACAAGCGCCTGCATCTAGTCCGGCTACATTTTGTATCTTTAGTAGAGACAGGGTCTCAATTTTGCTCAGTCTGGTCTCCAAGTCTTGAGCTTCAGGTTCCTCTAGCCTTCACCTCCCAGAGTGTTAGGATTAACATTTGTGGGCCACCACACCTGAGCCTATAAATTCTCTTAAAATATATATATAAAAAAATTTTTTTTTGAGGCAGAGCCTCAAGCTGGCGTCCTGGGTCGAGTGCATCACAGCTCACAGCAACCTCCAACTCCTGGGCTCAAGCGATTCTCCTGCTTCTTTCTCCCAAGTAGCTGGGACTACAGGCACCTGCCACAATGCCGGGCTATTTTTTGGCTGCAGCCATCATTGTTGTTTGGTGGGCCCAGGCTAGATTTGAACCTGCCAGCTCTGGTGTATGTGACTGGCGCCTTAGCTGCTTGAGCCACAGGCGCTGAGCCAATATATGTATATTTTTTAAGAGAGTCTCACTTTGTCGCCCTCGGTAGAGTGCTGTGCCTTCACAGCTCACAGCAACCTCCAACTCCTGGGTTTAGGCAATTCTCTTGCCTCAGCCTCCCGAGTAGGTGGAACCACAGGTGTCTGCCACAACGCCCAGCTATTTTTTGTTGCAGTTTGGCTAGGGCCAGGTTTGAACCCGCCACCCTTGGTTTATGGGGCCATCACTTTACTCACTGAGCCACAGGCACCGCCCCAAAATCTCTTAATATTAATATTAACTGAACAAATACCTGTTGAAATAATAGTGGCAATAAGGGAATTGAGATAGGCTTTAGGCCTTGCCCATCTCTAATAATATTCTCAGTTCTTTGAAAATGATAATTAACATTTTCTCAATCTTGTAAAGTGCTGGCCAGGTGCTGTGGCTCAAGTCTGTGATCCTAGCACTTTGGGATGTCGAGGCAGGTGTATTGCCTGAGCTCAGGAGTTCAGACCTGGCTAAGTAAAAGCGAGTCCCCCATCTCTACTACAAACAGAAAAATTAGCTAGGTGTTGTGACAGGTGCCTGTAGTCTCAGATACTCAGGAGGCTGGGCGAGAGGATCACTCAAACCCAGGAGTCTGAGACTGCTGTGAGCTATGACACCATGGCACTCTACCCAGGGCCACTGAGTGAGATTATCTGAACAAAAAAGGTCCTGTAAAGGGTGGTACCTGTGGCTCAAAGGGGAAGGGCGCTGGCCCCATATGTCAGAGGTAGCAGGTTGAAACCCAGCCCTCAGGCTGGGCACCTGTGGTTCAAGTGGCTAGGGCACCAGCCACATACACCTAAGGTGGTGGGTTTGAATCCAACCCGGGCCCGCCAAACAACGATGATGGCTGCAACCAAAAAATAGCTGGGCATTATGGTGGGCGCCTGTGGTCCCAGCTACTTGGGAGGCTGAGGCAGGAGACTCGCTT